CAGTGACACGGTGGGTAGCACCATTGCCTCACAGTGAGAAGGTTCCGGGTTCGCGACCTTTCTCCCCGTGCTTGCGTGGGTTCTCTCCGGGTACTCCGGCTTCCTCCCACTGTCCAAAGACATGTGACTTAAGTTGACTGGTGACTCTAAATTGCCCATAGGAGTGAATGTGTGTGTGTGGTTGTTCATCTGCGTGTTGGCCCTGCGATGGACCAGCAGCCTGACCAGGGCCTTTCGCCTGATGCCGGCTTGGGATTGGCTCCCCCCAAAAGAAGCACATTGCCTGTTATCACCTGCATACCAACAGCACTCTTACATACTGAATTTATATATGGACAACACAAATCAAATTTTCATCTATTTTGTCACCAGAAAATTGCTAAAACAGAACACAAATGGAAGAACTGTACCCTTGATGGAATAAGATAAATAATTAAACCTTTCCTTTTCCCTTCAGTTAAGAATGTTCTCACTTCAGCATCTGCAGAATTTGGTTTCCAGTAACGCTCTCTTGAACAAGAGTTTACCCATTTATGGATTTTCACTTAATCAGCAGCCAAATGTTTCCCCCTTCCTTGGAGAATCAGGCTTAAAAAAATAAATGCAGACCTACAGCATATTTATCAAAACTCTACATCTGTACTGCCATAAGTTAATGTTGCATGGAAAGAGTTATCTCTCAATTGTCAAAACTGATGATGATTTGTTTGAAATTCAAATCCTTTTCCTCTCCACAGGCATGGTGGCTGAATAACTTTAATATGATAAAAATCTGTGTGCATTGTGAGAAAGTTTCATCACTGGGAACTATCCAGTTTAATAATGTAACATGTGCTGCTCTGTGTCTGAAAAGTAAGTTCATGTAAGACCTCGAGGTTTACTCTTCCTTTTCAGTGACGAATCTAAGTGTTTTGAGTTTGTTCTCCAGAGATTTTTGTTTTTGTCTGTGTTAATGGCGAGTATGAACACGTATGTGTTTTTCTCTTCTCCTGCCTCTCTCCTCCGTGACTATGGGAGCAGACAGCTATAGTATAACTCAGTTGTCTTGCTGTGCACGCAATGATAGCACACTGAGTGCTGCACTCCACACACGCCTGGAGTGGTGTTGGGAAGCTTAGGGAATACTTCCTGTGTCTACACACACACATGCACACACACACACACACACAAAGAGACGGAGAGAGAGAGAGAGACTAGTTTTTGCCTCAGGTGTTTGGTAGTGCTTTACTTAAGTTAGCATCAAGATTAGTTGACTGAATGTTTACTCAAGAGGAAATCATTCTCCAAGTGACATGACATGCTTGATAAAAAAATGCCATATGACATACTGTGAAACAGTTTTATTTATTTGAACCATGAGAAGTTGTGCGTGTTTGTCAGACACCTACTGTTATCTACATCACTAAAACAACATAGTGAACAGAGTAGCTTGCCCAGGTCTGTACTCTGTCCAAATAACACTAACCTGCTGTTTTAAGGATGAACCACTGTGGAAACTCGGGCTCTGTCGGCCTAATTAATCAACGCCATGAGCAGTCAGATGAATGGGCCTTTAGGTTTACTTACCAGGACTGAAAGACTTTCAGAACTTTTATCCTGTGTTGTCTTATCTAGAGCTGAGCCACTTTCCCTTTGCTTCACAGCAGTGAAATTTTAACAGCTGTGTCTTGAATGTGAGGACTTGAAATTGTTCTGCCTCCGGCTCATACTGTGCACTGTTCTCTCAACTTAGATATTACAGCTATGTCACTGGGGAGTGTAAAAGATGGATAACTGTGTATGCACATAAGCCTGCTATACCACATTGGTACTGTAAATGTAAGAGACTTTGGTCACTCAGGTATTTCATAATTGCCACAGCTTGCTCTGTGATAGACTGGCGACCTGTCCAGGGTGGAGCTACCCCTCCTCTCACCCACTGTCAGCTGGGATTGACTCTGACCCTTCACAAGATAAATGATAGGCCTGTAGCTAATGGATGGATGGATACAGAATAGTTTTCTCTATAATCTATTAAACAGAGCTTTAGAGGTCCTGGGAGGCAAATTTGATTTATGAAGAGAGACAGGCTAGCTCTCTAGTCTTTGTGCTAAAGTAAGATAACCATCCCCTGTCCAACTAGTAATCCAGTAGGATTAAATACAGGTCGACTTGACGGCTTAACTTCAGCCTGGAGTAAACAAAGTATGGCAGGTTGTTACCAGGTCATTGTCAGTCCCATGTAGAAATGACAGTGTGAATACAAGCAACCCACTCCTCCTTTTAGCTCTATTTCTTTTCTGTACTAATGCTGAAATTTATCCCCACATTCCAAAGTGCGTTTTTCATTCAATTGGAGTTGTTCTGACATCCTGGAGAATTTAAGCCCACAATTTGTTTTCTTTCACTTTTGTTTTTGTGTTTACCCACTCCCCAGGAAAGTATCTGTCAGTTTAGCTAATAAAAGCTCCAGCTAACTGCTCTTTGGTGCTGAGCATGTAACTCATGTGTGGTGTGTTCTTAGAGCTTTTAATTTCATTTCTGTAAAGAATATTTAACTAGTGTAAATTTGTAGTGAAAGTTGATATCATGAAATGTGTAGAGGCTACTGAAAGAGGTTTTGGGATCCAGTGACACCATGTTGAGGTAAATATCCTAATAGCCAAATATGTAAGAGGCCTACTCTCTTTTAAATTTACTGTGTAACCACTGGTACAGTACAACAGATACATTTATTTTAGGTTCCTGTCTTTTCAGAGGCTTTTTTGTTTTGTTTCACAATGTTATCCCTTCACACCTGCCTCCATATTGTTGTCTTAGTCTTTACTTGACTGATATGGTTTGTCACTTGTATGTTAAAACAATGTGCTTATGAATATTAACCTTTCCCAGTCTGCTTAAAACACACACACAGTGTTTCCATGACTTCAGGGGACATGGCTTAGACTTACATTCATTTCCTGGAGACTTACACCAACCTTAACCATACAGGCTACTTGCCTAACACCTAACCTTAAACCGATTCATCACTCAACGATGTAATGATTTATGTTGGGGGACTTTCGTTTTGTCCTCATAAGAACTTTTTAAATCTCCAAAACTATGTTAACATGTATATGTGTCCCCACAACATGAATAATACCAGGCCACACACATTTATCCTTGTCGTTTGTACATGGTTTCACCAAGGGCTCAAAACGTTTGTCCTCTTCACACAGTAATTTTGTGGGTATTTGCGGATTTGCCATTATTTCATTTTGTCTGAGATCTTAGTCTTCAAATAGTTGCCTAAAGTGTTCATTCATCTTTATCCTACTGTTATTCTGAAGCTTAAAAGACAATTTAAAACAGTTTCAACAACAACAGCAGTAAACACCTGAGCAGTATATGACAAATAATAGTAATAGAGAAAATTACAAAAATCCTCCTTGTTACTCTTCTAGCCAGCATTCCATTTTCCACTGAAAAAGAAAACCAAACCAGTTTACATCTCACAGGTTGTGAATTATTTCTGATATCCTGACTCTGTCAGTAGCAATGTAATCGGTTGCTTTTTTTAATAGGTTCAATATGCTGCAGGGTACTGAGGCCATTGCTTTTAATGACATTATTAACAGATGATAACAGAACCAGTTTTCATTTCCTGTCAATTAAAATATTTTAATTAACAATAAGCCATTATAATCTATGCCATGGAATTCAGTTTCACTCAGTTCTTCTCAGTGAGGTAAATGAATATTTTGATAATCTTCTGACCTTTTTTATCAGTTTTGAAGTAGCATGGGTTATATATACAGTATTTAAGCTCTTTTCTATATAGTGTTTCTATATATTACACTGAGGCAACTCATCGTACAGTTTACATCCTTCACAAATCTCAGTGAATGCAAAATGACTTTCTCAACTTCATGAGGTTACTACCAATCTCTCACCTTCACCACCATGTTTTCAAAAGATCATAAATAATCAAAGTGCTGTTCAATAACACCAAAGCTCTGCAATATTCAGATCTGACTGTGACATTATTGAATCCATGCATAATGTCCCTACAGGTACTAGGACTCAATGAAATTGCTGTATCAAATGAGAAACCCAGCAGCGTGTTTGCACTGTTTACATTTTTTATTTTTTTGTGCAAAATAAGGCTACACTTAGATTTCAGAGCCAGACACCATTATCATGCAAACACAGTTATGGGAAGGTTTATTGTATACTCAAGTTGATATTACTTCATTTTTTAGCATCTTTACCTACTGTATTTTTAACCCACGGGTTTGTGGGTAAAGCATCCTGACTGTTAAGCACACTCAGAATTTTGCCTCTGAAGTGCATTAAAATCTCTTGGAAGCATTTCAGAATTTTTAATAGATGCCACCTGTTTTTATGGAGTGTGGACATTAACTGAGTCTATCATCAAAGACTACAAAAAGTACTCCACTGTTTGTCACACTGAATGTGTGTTTGTTAAATGTGTCTGCTCTGTGCTCTTTAGCTATAAAATGAGTCAGGCCTGTTCTCATTTTGAGCCCTTCATTTTCCAGCCATTTAAATACAAATGGAGTTTCCCTATAAGCTTCATTTATACCAGAAATGATTGCACATTACCACTTGATTAATTATTTAAGGAAAATTGCATGTCTTACTCAAGTGAAACATCTAGGGAAATTAGTTTTACTTTCTCCTCTCTGTGTAGGTCAAAGAGCAAAGTCAGCTACATAGCAGCTGGCTGGTGGTAGGGACTGAATCTTTTGTTTGAGGACACTGGAGCTTGTTGTCATGTGTGTGAACTCCTGCTTTGGCTGTTGAAGGACAGCCAGTCAGTTTCTTTAAACAGCAGACTACCTTTCACCTGCTAATAAACATTACAGCACAAGAGAAACAGCATTTATGACAGTAATTATATCAGCACCATCGTTTTTAACACATTCCTTAAATGTCACTTGACACACAACCTTACTGGTCGTTTGACAAGTTTTAGCCTAGACAAATAATCATGTTACTTCCCTTCCTGTGCCTCTTAGAGACTCCAGGGAGGGAAGAGGATGGCCAAGCAGACACATCATTCTCTGACTCATCGCTGTTCGCTCACTGGGGTCAGGAGCTCAGCCCGGATACCCGGCGGGTGGCACTGAAGATGTTCCAGTACTATGGTTATAACGGCTACCTCAGTGATCGCCTCCCTTTAGACAGGACAATTCCGGACCTCAGGCCTGATGGGTAAGATTGACTTTGACAGTTTTATATGCTAGCACCTTACACTAGTATCCTCTCCTTGAGAAAATTATTTATTTCACTGTGTTCTGACAAACTGAATTACAGTTTCAGATTGAATTGTGCCTAATTTTTGTGCAAAGTGGCAGTTTGTGTTGTAAGCAATTTCTTCTCCTAACTTGTCTTTACACAGAAACAACTAATAATGTCTTGTTTAACACACAGTGCAATCTATTTATCAAAAATCTGTTGAAAGTGACACACATTGTTTTTTTACATAAAGGTACAAAACATTTCATGTGCCATTTCCATCCTAAAAATACTTATATACTGTATATATTATGTCACTTGGATGTTGTCTACCAAGGTACAGCAAAAGCCAGTGAATATATTTAACATATTATTCATAGAGCTACTGTCGAAGAACTTGGCAGCACCATCCCCAAAAATGACAGTGCTTCTGTGTTCAGAGGTCACCCCACACCGAGCAGTAATGGTCCACATTAACTTATGATAACCCCAGTTCCCAGCAAAATGAACCAACCTTTGTTGAATTAAGTAGGCTAAAAGCTGAGCTGTGAAATCTCACTTCTTAAAGATGATCATCAGGCATGGATGTCTTCCTTCTTCCTAAAAGCGTTTGGTGCTTTTGTTGCAAATGAGATGATCATAGCTGCTGTGAATAACGCATCATTTGCCAGTCTGTAAGTATCAAATCCTGAGATTCCAAAATGGTGTATGCGAACAGGTTTTAATGTCAATATCTTATTTCAAATTATTGTGGCATCTTATATACTCTCTCTATATATATATATAGATAGATAGATATTAATCACTGTATGTCATTTAGTCACTTTGTCAATTAAGTCTGAACTTACCAAATTTCATGATATGAGAAAAAAATGACAGCAAAAATCAGCAATGCTCCTTAACTTTATCACGATCAGCGGTTGAACTCATTTGTCCAATAATGGTGAAAAAAACAACAATTTGGTGACATCATGGTGTCACACAATTCATACAAGAACTTCAGGGAATTTTCTCCACTGCCCATCACTGAACTCCCTTCAGACCATATATTCCCACTAATACTGGCTCTGTACTCTCAGCCAACACCGTTCAAGGGGATACAATATTCATAGACACTGTGTATCCGTGTGTTCTCAACACATTTGCCAGACGTAGATCCCTGACTGTGCCTTTCTGTAAATACAATGGGCTCTTGAGAGTAATGAACAGCATGATGTGGTACCAGTGATGTGATTTTGTTAAATTGGTAGAGCAAGTAAGATATCACAATCCCCGAGCAACTCACTCTTACACTAAATTAAATGGTCATGTCAAGAGGGTCATTAACTGGAGTTTGCAACAGTCTACTACCAAAATCCATCTGAGGGAATAATTGTTTTTTAATGAATTTGTGTCATTACACATAGAAAGCTTTATGTTCAGGATTTCGATTTCAAAAAAACCTTAATCCAAGCATTAACTGCAGCTTTATGGGCATATTTTTATGGCTTGCTGTCTCTGCATTTTCTGATAATAGGCAATGGCTTCTACTTTGGAGAAAAGGCTGGACTCCCTGTTCACAATGAAAATGTCAGCATGTGGTAGCAGGAAACATGTTTTAGGGAAAAGGATGAGCTTGATTGAAGTCAGACCATACCACACAAACATTCATGTATTCCTCCCTCAACCGATCCCTTTTATAAATGCATTGCAGGTGCACCACCACTGCAGGAGCACTCTGATCATTAAATTTCAAAAACAACTACTGGCCATGAACTGATGCCAGTGCCTACAGTTGTACCTTGATTCATGAAAATAGGGTCCTGTTGCAGCCTGCCAAGTAGCTGGGTTGGCATGAAATCGACATTACTCTACTCTATAGGAATCAATGTCAAATTTATCTGTTATCATTTAGACAAGATGCAGATCTAATTGTTGCCTTACCAATGATCTGTTATTTGTCCTCTGCAGGTGCAGAAACATCACTTATCCTTTAAACCTTCCTCAAGTGAGCATTGTGTTCATTTTTGTGAATGAAGCCTTGTCTGTCATCCTGCGGTCCATTCACTCTGCCATCAACAGGACGCCCTCCCACCTCCTCAAAGAGATAATCTTGGTGGATGACAACAGCAATAACAGTAAGCAGCATTGTTTTATAATTGAACCGCTACTGAACATTAGCTAGACCCTTCTCCAGGCAATGTTTGTCTACCTATAGCTTAGAAACTGTAGACATGACAGGCCTGTCGAGCTGTGGATTTTTCAGCATGTTGAAGGTATGTGCATGGGACTCTGGTAAAAGCAATACTTGGCATTTGGAAGGTGGTACCCTGCTTGTTGCCTTTCTAAAACCAAAAACACAAGCACAAAAGTGTAAGAATTGTTTAAACAGCGTCTTTGTATTATGGATGCTATCAGTGCTTTCCTTGAATGTTACCTTTAATGTTACTGAGCATTAAGTAACGTGGAAACCCAGGATTATCCCAAATGATATAATGATGCTCTCGGTGTTATGGTCTCCCGTTTTCAGTTTGTTTCAGGAAATCATGATTCGTGCATCATTTTTGGATGCTGAACGGGTCTAAATGCTACAGTTTTGATAAGTTTTAGACTGATGATCAAAGCAGGAGAGTTTCATGTGGATCCATGCCATAAAACTGCTTCTACTATGAGTCACATAACATTTTCTATGGTTAAAATGGGACACCAGGAGCACCAAAAATAGCTCCTCCCACTGTGCAGCCTTATGGCAAAGACCCACTGAGCGCAGTTCCCCACTGGGACATGAGCAAATTGTTTTGCAAGGCATTGTGGGATTCTAGGCAATGCTAGGCTGGCCTGAAAAGTGACCAAAGAAGAGGGTTTCAAAATTGAATACAATTTAACTTTATACAAATGATGGTGAAATGTTCCTGCTGGCTGCGCAGGGCTTTGTCAGAATCTGTCAATAAAGAAGCAATGGTGAGCCAATATGTTTAGTGGATACCTGCTGTGGAGGTAAACATCTTTGTTGTACTTCCTGTGAACTCTCTTTTTCAAGCCCTGGCCTCTGGTTTACAGGTAAAAACAAAAATGTTGTGCTGCTTGGCACAGCATCATGTAGATTTTTGGAAAAAGTGCAGGTCGCTTATCTACACAGTGTTTGCCAATGTGCGAGCTACTTGCTCACTTGGGAGCACTAGTAAAATTGCTAAGTATTTCAAATGGTACACCTGTCACCATTGTTACTGCAAACTGTATATACCAAACCCCCAGGAATGACACTGAGCAGTGAAACAATTTTGGCATAGTGGCGTGCCGAGACTCACACAGACCCAAAAAGCATTTTTCTCATCTTTGGAAAGGGAGAAGCTTTAAAATAGTGAATACCTTTTTCTGAGCATCACAGGCTGTGAAATGACTGTTTATTATCAGAATCTGATCCATTTGATGTAGTGTTATTAAGCCTAGAAGAGCCACACAGTAGGATATTTTTATTTGATCCCATTCATGTGTAGTGGAGATCCACAGCTCAGCACTAGTGCTTGTTCTTTGTTGCCCAAAAACATGGAAGAGTGTGGAACATCCGAGTGATTTGTATGGTCAGAATCTGGAAGCATGAAGAGTATGAGCCACTGTTAGCAAACTGTGAGCTGGAAAACATTTTAGAAAATACTTTTCTGACAATGATAATGAGGCTTCAAAAGGAAGCCTCTAGTTTACATATCATTGCCTTGTGTGTGGACAAATCTGTATCTGTGATATGTACTACTCCTCTAATGCCTCCAGGCTCCCTTATTGTTTAATTAGGGGCTATGTTTACTGGATTTAGCCAATGAATAACAGTAATTAGCTGCAAAGCCAGAAAATTTGCCCTGAGCCAGATAACAATCCAGCAAGGTGATGAAGTGTTTGTACCTATCTAGTCTGCATTTGCAACCCTAATTTTTACATCTGTATGTGCTGGATGTTGGGTAAACAGCGTCAGGTCTAAAGATATCCACTATATACTGACTGTGTAACAGAAGAACTCTGTTCACTTGTTATTACTGAGATGACTGAGTGAGATCACTGATCACTTTAGCCTACAAAGCATAAGAATTAAGTCACCTGTGAAAAGTGGACCTGGTAATTTACCATGTAAGACCCAACTACATTACAAAGGCAGAACATAGGCTATAAAAAGGCAATAATATTGTACCAAGGTCATTTATAGGCAATGCACTCAAATGGGCTGTGTCACTTGTAAAAAGGACTGAGATAGCTATTAGAGGCAATCAACATGGGAAATACTGGCACTGGGAGGGATGTTTATCAAGTCAATAATGCAAAATATGTAGCCTGGCCTGTAGCTGGCTGGAAAAGATGGATCACTGTGGTATGTCTCTCTAACTTCCCAATACATTGGAAAAAGAATTATCACTCTCCCTCAGGTAATTATTGGCCAGAAAGTTTAACATATCGAAAGCTTTGTTAAACCATGTAAAGATGAAAATCCAAAAGTTTGTTCCCACTCCTCCTAGAACAGCAGGTTTCACACATATTCATATTTCATCACCTAACTGAGAGCGAGGGAGCAGTCACTGTTAGATCCTTCAGGGACCCAAGTCACGCGCTGACATTTTGCTGATGGCATTTCACCCAGTTTGCTTGAGCACTCAGTCACACACCGTCTGATAGGGCTGGTGTTATCATTATTACCATGACTGTGAATCTTATCTGTGCTAAATGTCATTAGCCTACTGACCCTCAATACTGCAGAGATTGTTGAAAGGGTCATCGTTCACAGCTAACCTCCCAGACATCCACAGCTTTACATTAGTCACCCGCCACTGTCACACTTCACCTCTGAGAGGCATTAGCATGCAGGAGAACATGCAGCCATCAAGAGAGAGAAGGGCAAATTGACCTAGCTGATTCCTCCTTAATTGGATAATGTCCCAAGCTGTGGTCCAAGAAAAGCTTGTCTGTGTAAGCACAGGGTTTTGAGAAGGCTCACTCATTAGACAGGCTGTCAGCCAGGACTTATGATTCCATACTTTTACTTAAATGATAATACCAAAGAGTTTTGTATATGTATGTATGTGAGGGTGAAGGATTTTGTGATGAGCAAAATGTAGACAGCAAAAATAATGAAATATGATTTAAAGAAGTCCGTAGCAACATCTCTATCCGATTCTTGTGGTGTCTAGCTGTCAGGAAATCTCTCCCTGTCATCCTATATGTGAGGGTTAATTTGTGTACCCATCAAACAAAGAGTTGAATATTTTACTTGGTTAACTACTCTTTATTTAAATAGTTAATCTTGTTGAGATTAGGGCTGCACCTGTCTGTTATCCGTTATTAAAATGTTGCCAGTTATTTTTCTTTCAGTTAATCGACTTGGTTTCCTTTTTTCTTTCTTTTTTTTAGTCACAGTATTTACAACACTTGACAGTTTGTTGCTGACAGATCCTGTGGTCAGCAATGTGCACCACTGTGAGTGTGAGTGGAGAGACATAATGTTGATTCATTTGGCACCTCAGGTGTGCAGCGAGCAACTGTTTGAAACTAGTTGGATATCTCCAAAGCAGTGACTGCAGGTCTAGGCAGTCAAAGCTGTAGGGCACATAAAACCTGGGATGATATCAGCCAAAACCAACAAAGCTGAGTTTACACTATTGTCAGCTATAAAATACAAGCAGTGCACATTTTTTACTGGAACTTCAGCTACATGTGTTCAGAATGTTTTTAATGAACTATCAGTGAACTCAGGATTTGATATAAGTCTGGCTGAATTGTGAAGGAAGGACAAGGATCAGTCAGATATTATAAAGACAGATTTTTCACAAAAGAGTTGTGTAGTGAGAAACTGCCACATACACGGCAACTGTGAGACCTGTATCCATACCGATTTGGCATCTGCTGTGCCAGCAGTTAACTCCTGAGTAGTGATAAATGGTATGCATGAAGAGAACATGCAATATTCAAGACCTAGATAAAGATTTTTAATCTTTAGTTTATTTTAATCTTTTCATTTGGGTTTATTTACATGAGGTTCATTTTCCTGAGTCTGTACCCAGCAGAACATCTTGACATGTTGTAGATCAACGTGTTTTTACAACTCACTATGAAGCAGAGTCTACTGTAGGTTCTATCTCTATGTGAGTTTCCATACGAAGTTCGATTTGGCATGAAGTATAAGATAAATTTAGGATTGTTACATCAGGGATTTCTCTAGCAACTATACTAGAAAGACTGGACCTTGTTATGATGCTCTAATTCTGTGCAGTATTCACCTGAGCTCTTTAAGGGAAACTCTCATGTCCACGTTTTTCTTTCAACCTCCAAGCATGTGAAGTCAAAATTCATCCATTCAGTCTCAGTTCAGACATGTTAATGTTCTGTGATGAAGCAGCAACAGGCCATAGAAGAAAGGAGACAGTTATGAAAATCCTGTTCATCAATCAAATATCCCTTGCCTGGTTATACACAGAACTGCGCATATGACATTGTCATAATTCACTTCTCTGCACTCTTAAAGAGCAGCTGTGCCACATCATATTTGAAAGACTTGTTGTTATGAATAAAGAAAGCCTGGTGTCTTTAGTTATACACTGTCCTGAATATGGATAGCACTGAGGATAACAGAGATTTGCCTTTTATCTTCTGAAAGAAAGAAAAAACGTATTTTCTTGTTACATTTAGAATGTAACTGGATTTGCTGCATGACTGCACTGTAATGTTAGAAATTTGTTTGCTTGTTCCAGTCCAACTCCATCCTAAAATTCATTGGTTTCCATCTGAGCTTCAGCAGGCTTATGACTTTGGCCATCAGCCATTCCTGGTGTAATGAATCCTTTATTATGATTTGTTACGAGGCAAAACACATCATTCTTATTTACAGTTCACACAGACCTGAATGTCTTATTTTTTGATGGGTTAAAAAATTTGTTTAGATCCCGAAAATCAAATGAGTAACTTCAGTAGTTTTCCTTTAGCTAGAATTAAGAGTACAGAATTATTTCTACTATGTACACTAAAACGTAAATTAGTACAAGTGACTGTTTCTCAGCCCTGGCTTCCTGGTTCAGAGCCCCTCTGCTTTAAGTTCTGGGTACCTAATTAAGAGCAGATTTACACTTGGGATGTTAGCTGAATGCAGTTAACCAGAAAGAAAACTGGCTACTGTTGGCTTTTCTGAGTGGAATTCAGTCAAACTGAACATAAATGTACCAAAGAATTCCATGTTGTGCATGGTGTATATAGTGGGAGCATTATTCTAATGCACCAGGACACATAGCCATGCAGGTGACAAGGTACACATTGCAATGATCTACAACTGGTGGCTGTAATGCGCAAAGCAGAACAATGGCAGTGAAGCCACAAGCTGGCAAACACTGATGTAACAATGCACAACTTAAAATGTTTTGAGAAAGAAAATGCTTTAAACACAACTGTTAGACCTCAAGAATACACACAGTACACTGTATTATTAAGAAACGATGAATGTAAACATAATTCTGCTAACAAGAAAACTCCACAGAACTTGTCCTTGACATGAAAATTCATAATGGTGGTTATTCAGTAAAGCACTGATTCATGACTCATTCATAATGGCACATACTGTTTACTGTTTTTAATTGCTGATTTGTGTTACACTGCCATTTTGTCATATTCCAGAAGAAGAATAAAAAAGCTATTCTTAACTGGTTTTTAACAATTTTTGCCTTAAACTTTGTTTACTTTTTATTAAATCAAGATACTGTAGGCAGTTTATATTTACAATATATACTGCATTTATACATTGCAAATACTATATGTCTGCAGTACTGTTGCTGTGCATACGGTACTTTTAGAAGTAAAATATGATAGACAAAAAATTAGAAAGAGCTGCCAGTCATCCTAAAATTCTACATATGGTTCAAGATAATTACTGTTTTCCCAACCTCTGAAGAGATTGCTGGCAAAGGGATATGAGGTAAAATAATTCCTGTATTTTATATTGTTGTAGCTGCAGTGATTGCTATGCTGTGAGATGTGTTTTCTAACAGGTGCCAACATTAACTAACACGACAAACTGCCTATATTTCTTTTTTCAGCAGTAGGAGAAAATAAAGCTGCTGGAATAACTACTTATAGAATACAGTTCACATTTAAATAAATTACTGTTGGAGCAGGTTCATATGTTCCTGTGCCAAGTGCATTGTGGGACTATACAGTTTGATGAAAATACAATGCTTATAATGCTCATGATGTGCACATTTTTCATTATGTATTTTCATTATACACCTTATCATCAGATTTACAGTACTACGTCTCTGACAGAACTTTGTACAGTGTTTCTGGTTTTGATGAATCAGATTTTTTTCCCTATTGCCCCACCCTGCCTCCAAGGAAACCAGGCACACCATGAATTCAAGGCGGCCACATTCTGTCTGCTTGCAACTGCTCCCCATTCCCTTGAAATTCAAAAGTGAAATAGTGAGAACACAGCCTAAGGTGATTTATATGTGGGATGATGAAACACACTGCTGATGAAAGTTTTATTTCTTTCAGCTTTAGTCGATGGATAGTACAGTATGGAGTTGTGATATAATGGTAGTTTGGCTCACTCACTGGCTTTTGCTGACATTTCACAGCAGTTTCCAAACCATGGCTTCTTTTTAAAGAAACTGATCAGTTCAAGATTTTTTTTTTTTTTTTTACATGTTATAATTGAACCACAATCAGAACACCCGCTACAAATACTGCTAGCTTTTGTAAATTGTAGGGAGAGCACATTTTTTTAGCACTGACTGAGGGCAGGGTAGGACTCATCATACAGTATATAGCTCAGGTAATAATGGAGGTAAACTTTGAAGCCAAATATTAAACCAGACAGATGTCCACTATCTCCTCCTCAATATTGCAATATCCCGTTTTGACTGGTAAGTCCCATGGAGGTCTGCAGTGCTGGCTCAAGCTGCTACCTCTTTGGTCCAGTGATCAAAGCAGTGAAGCATGAGAACTTTGGCCTCCTATCAATGAAATACTGCCCACCAGAGAAGGACATGAGGACGTCTTGTGGGTGGAGGTTGGCTCGCCAGCAGCTTTCACTTATAGCTTTCTCAAACAGGATCTTCAAAAATTCTTCAGGTATTCATGTAAAATGTATGTGTTGTCTGTCTGTTTTGTAGATGAGCTAAAGGAGAAGCTGCAGAATTTTGTGTCTGAGACTAACAGCCATCGTCCGGGATTCATTAAAATGGTGCGGCATGCCAAACAGGAGGGTCTGATCCGGTCAAGAGTGAGCGGGTGGAGGGCTGCCACCGCCCCAGTTGTTGCTCTGTTTGATGCACATGTCGAGTTCAGTGTTGGTTGGTGAGTCACTTGCAATGTGCAGCGTGAGGGTCCACAGCTCAACACAAGAGGGCTGATTTCTGAGTCATATCACTCTGTGTGGGTTTACAAAAAATGATTTTATTTCAGAACAAAGACCACAGATTTTCTCTTTTTCTAGTGATTGCATTCTGTCTGTGACAAAGTCATTTATACACTATGATATGCACAGAGTATACTCTGCACACAAGATCACAACTATTGCTAATCTGTCAGAGTACTCACACTCCACCAGATAACCCCGTATACTGTCCCAAATCTGTCAAGAGAATTTGAAAAATATCCAAACTTCTGCTGATGTGGTTTTAAATCTTTATAAACGTCTAACTTTAACTGTGTGAATAGTACATACTTTCTTGATCCAGACATGAACATGTTAAAGCAACAGTTCTACATTTTGTGAAACACTATTTTACTTTCTTATCAAGAGTTTGACACTTTGTAATGATCGCATTTAAATATGTCTTATAATATCGTCAGATCTTAATTTAAGCATTGCTCAGTGAGGTCTTATACCTACACTGTATTTTTGTATTAATCCGGTTCTGAAAAGCAACTAGTAACTAAAGTTATAAAATAAATGTAGTGGAGTAAAAAGTACAATATTTGTCTCTAAAATGTAGTGAAGTCAAAATACAAAGCAACAGAAAATGACAATAGTCAAGTAAAGTACAGATGCCTCAATATTGTACTTCAGTACTTGAGTAAATGTACTTAACTGCTTTCCACCACTGTCTCACAAAGCAAGCTGGAAAAAGTATGCGAACCCCTAGGCTAATGACATCAACAACTAACTGGAGTCAGACGTTATAGCTAACCTGGCGTCTAGTCAATGAAACAAGACTGGAGGCTATGATGTATTAAAAAGAAACACACCCACACCCACAAATATTTTGACACTGATATTGTCATATCATGTGAATCATGACTCACAAAAGAAATCTCAGAAGACTTACAATCAAGAATTGTGGACTTGCATAAGGCTGGAAAGGCCTTCAAAGTAATCTATGTAAAAATGTAGTAACTCATCAGTCTACAAGTTAGACAAACTGTCTGTAATGAAGACAAATTACTACTGTGGCTACTCTATCTAGTAGTGGTTGTCCTGCAGAGATGGCTCCAAAGAACAATGCTTAGGCACAGAATGGTCAGATAATGGACAAGATAAAATGCCCAGAGTAACAGCTAAAAGCTTAACATCAGTCTACCACAGTCTACCATAAGTAAATCATGGTGCTGCCTCTGGGCCTGGACAACTTGCCATCATCAAGGAGAAAAATTAATTCACAAGTTTATCAAGGTATCTTACAGGATAATGTCAGGGTGGTTCAGTAGAACCTGGGCAGCACAACAATGACCCTAAACATTAAAGTAAATCTACAACAAAGAAAAATCCAGCTTTTGCAGTGGCCAATCGCAGACCTCATAGAGATGCTGTGGAATGAACTCAAAGAGCCATTCACACCAGATGTCCTAAGAATATGGCTGAGCTGAAGCAGTTCTATGAGGACGAACGGTCCAAAGTACCTCCTGAACATGGTGTAGGAAAGAAGCATTGGTTTGAGGTTATTGCTGGCCAAATGGTTGACTTTTTCCACCAAACAATTCTAATGTTAACTTGTGTGTTTAATAAAGGTAAAACATTTTAACTGTCTGTGTTATGCACACTGGGACTGTCTATACTTGTGACTTAGATAAAGACCAGATCACATTTTATGACCATTTCATGGTTAAAAAACAAGTAACTGATTCTTTACTTGCTACTGTTTAAGGCAACAGCAAGCAGCCACTTAGCTTAGCACAAAACTAAAAAAAAAGGAAAACAGCTAGCCTTGCTTCATCTGAAGGTAATAAGCTCCATCAGTGTTTTGTTTACTGTTTAGATACAACCACATAGTTAACATTCTCAACAAGACAGAAAATTCCAAAAATGAATTATTGTGGTGAATCTTAAAATGAATTCCCTAGTAACAACAACAAAAGGTGTTGTCATGTACTATAGAAACACCAAGAACTCTTTCTGATATAGTCAACTGGAAATGCACTGTGTAGGTTTTGAGTCCCTTAATTGTGTTTGCAAATGAATAAACATTTTTATCTTCTCATATTTCAATTAAAAAAACTATTTTCATCAGCTTATCAGGTGGGCAATAGTGCTTTGTTAGACTAATAAATTGAATTAAATTCAACTCATGGCATAGGTTTTTAAAGTGCCCCTTCATGACAGACGTGATCTCAAAGGCCTTCGAGAAAGTAAGCCTGTCAAAACAAAGATACTCATAGTAAAATGACTTTCTCTCTTCGTATTTGAAGGGCTGAACCCATTCTGCAGAGAATTAAAGAAGACAGAACCCGCATAATCTCCCCATCATTTGATAACATCAAGTATGACACATTTGAGATTGAAGAGTATCCGCTGTCTGCCCAGGGATTTGACTGGGAGCTGTGGTGTCGTTACCTCAACCCACCCAAGTCCTGGTGGCACAGGGGCAACAAGAGTGCACCAATCCAGTAAGTGAACGCCAGAATCCAATAATATGACTAAAATGTTTTTATATACAATTAAACAAATATCAACCCTGATCATTTATGCAGCATTCATGAACACATCATATGTTGTGCACACATTTCTCTTCTTGTCCCTGCTGTCTCTATAGCAACTGTGTCAAACTAGCATTACCTGTGCTGTGAACAGCAACAGACAAACAAGTCTGATCTTCTTCATCTCAAATCCCTCAGGAGCCCAGCCCTGATTGGATGCTTCGTTGTGGATAGGCTGTACTTTGAGGAGATTGGTCTGCTGGATGAGGGGATGGAGGTGTACGGGGGAGAGAATGTCGAGTTGGGCATCAGAGTGAGTAATGATGTCACTCCCTGTGGCCATGGGCCATTGTTCCTCCAAGTAACGCGTAGAAAATTAACTATAATAATGACACTTAATGGGTGTTGGGAGCAAGGTCACCTAACTCTTTTCATTGTATGTAAAATACTAAACTCATTAAAAAGGTGTCATTTGGCTTTAAGTGATGGGGTCTGTGCGTTTAAAAAGGTGTAGAGGTGAGGTGGCAATTAGTAAATGTTGAGGAGCAGGGTTTTGCTAATGTAGGATGTCAAGCCCACTTGTTTATTTTCAAAAAAGGTCAAGGTTCTGGAAAATGTCAAAATAGTGCTTTTGATAATAAAGTAGATTTGCTGAATGCTACAGTACTTAACCTCAAGAAAAGTCTATCTGCACTAGAGAATAAGGCTGTGGCACTCAACATCACATACTGATATCAACTTATTAAAGCTCAGTACTATATGCCTGAGAAAGCAGTCACCTGAAAGTCAGTTTAGTATCTGGAGCTTTCAAACATACCACACAGTCTTTATCAGAAAAATGTGTTTGCCAGGCATCATGTTAAAATTTTCCATTTATTCTAAGCCTTTCAAGGATTTCTTGTCCTTGTTTACTTTAAAGATGAAAATTAAGGTTTACTGCTCATCTCAATAAAAGCAGTCTATTTACAGCAGGAGTTATTCTGGAGCTTCCAATATATGACCTGATAATTTCCTAAAACAGCTGAGTGCTTCAGTTCCTTCACAAACATAATTCAAACTGGAGTAAATATGTTAGGGACTATTTCCAGGTGTGGATTTATACTTTGTGTGGTAGTGAGTATATACAGCAGGAGAACAGGGTATTTGAGATTGACTCAAGGCCACAAACTTAGTTCTTTATTTAGTTCCATTCTCCACCACCTTTGTTTTTATCTCAACTTTTCTTATTTAATTTCTGTTGTACAGTAAACAACTGAGCTATACACTCCGGTACAACACCACCTTTAACTATGACCTCAATAATAAATATATGATTGAATTTACACAACTATTTCAGAGTCTGCAAGGAATAAAATCCCTTTATTATTTGTTGATCTAAATGTAATCACATTTGAATATATTGAGCATAGAAATATTTGAAATAGACTATGAAATAACCATGTGTAAGTTTTTATTTGTGAAATTTACCATCAAATTATGTTACTAAAACCCTAGATTGTCTGCATATGTAAGTCAAGAGTGTTGTTCGCTGATGCGTTTTTATAGCTTTTAGACAAGAACTGGAGTATATGCGACAGGTGAATAATCTTGATCAGACTGTGGCTACACTGGCAGTGATAGTAAAGTCAGTTCATTCTTGGTTTTTAGCTTTTTATAGGATTTCTTGAGGATAAGAAGAATACAATATCTAGAACAAACACTGACAGGAACAGTACACAGTGTGTCCAGAACATACTGACATGCTCTCTCTTGTGTAGATTTACTTACTTAATACTAATTAATTCTGATGGCTGGATGTCATTCACTTCAGTGATCACCTTCATCCCATGGTGAGCTCACTGAAGCACATGTGAGAGAAATAGGTCTCAAAGCCATTGTTACTGTTAGCCCTAATGTGTGAAGACAGTACCAACATTGTTCAGAGCAGACAGACATACTGTATTGTGGCTGTAGCTGTTGCATTCTTCTCATACAGATTCTACTTAATTTATACACCATCATCTGCTCTGACTGGGAGCTGAAAATTGCTTGATGTGCATTTAGTGCAGCAGGATCACAAGCAGATGGGCTAGCGAAAGAAAAACCCTCCTGAGGGATAGCTAATGAAAGTAGAAATCTACTGTACTGTAATGTACAAAGGCCATTAATGCAGCTATCAGCCTGTTCACTAATACAGTAGTGAGAAGCAGCTATTTCTCAGTGCTGCACATTCACTAGATTCTAGTGTGAGAAGGAAATTTAGACACGTTTATAACAGAATGCTAAATGTGGAAATATTCATCCTCACTAATGACAGAGATGCAATCATCAGTAAAGAAGGCTGATTAGTCCTGCAACTAATTTTCCTCTAGAAATTACATGCTTTTACAATTCCTGGGCCTGATAACAGTCACATTGACTGCATGATAAATGGACACATTGATTTTCATTGCATATCTTATAAACCAGAGTCCTAGTCCTATATATAAACAGTTTGATGAGTCATTGTAATTTACTGCTGTGTTTTTCAGTTCTGAGTTCAGCGTTACCTCTGTGCTGTTTACTTCCTTGCTTCTGTTGAACTGAAGAAACTTGCCCTTGCTTGGAGGTTAGCGTAGTTAGAGTTCAGCAATGCAGAGGGTGACACAGGGAGCTGGGAGCTACACGAGTGAAGGGCTCTGGCGTGGCCCCAGATTAGCAGTCCCATCGTGCCCCAGCAAGGTCTGTCTGTCTGCCTGCCTGTCCGCAACGTATTGGTCATGCCTGCAGACCACCTGCCAGCATACAGACCGGCTGCTGACAGATCCTCAGAGACACATTCAAACCAGGCCAACAGCCACAGGCTTTGGCTGAGGCTTGAAAGAGCTGTCCTGGGTAGTGTGACGGTGAAATGAACCACTGCTCTCTCTGTTCACATTTGGTCACAAAATGGAGGCTGAATATTTCTAATATGATGTACAATGAACTAGCAATCTCATCAAGCCCAATGACACACATTTCCCTTTTGTTGGTGTCAGTTTCATAAAACACCCTGTAAAACTGTGTGTTGCGCTAAATTAATAGGGCATTATACTGTAAATTCCTATAAAATCCTATGCAGATTATTATTTTGATGGCTAAAACACAACTTATTTTTAAGATTTCCCTATGCTTTGTAAAGTGTTGTCAGTATATACGTTTTTAGGTATAAATGTAGCATAGGATTCTACTTCTCTATAGACAAGCCACAGTTACTGCAGTGGCACCTGCTAAATCAGTGCAAAAATTTTTATCTGCTTCTGCCACAGATATAGGACCATACTTCTATGACTGGGAGGTCCCATGTGTTGAAAATATGGCCATCTAAATGCTGTTCAAAATTTTAATCTAAAAAAGTTTTCAGTAAAGCGTAAGGTGTGTTAACAGATGGCAAAGCCACAATGACAGTTCTGTGCCGTTATCAGCTGAGAAAAAAAATGCCTCTGCTACATGAAATCAATTTCACTTTAATACATCTTTAAATCTTCTCATTTGTGCCCCAAGCAGCATACCAACAAAGCCTGGCCGAGTGATTGTGGTTTGGTGTACCAGTGATCGCATGCTGGCTGGACACACACTGCATGCATTTGTTGTCCAAAATTCCACTTTCAGTTTCAGGTGTTTCACATTTTTATTAAATGTATTCGGTGGTTTAGTTGCAGGAAATTACAGCTTGAAAGTTGGCTAATTTTTTTGACATCCATGATTTATAAGGCAATGCCACTGTAGTCAGGCTTAATGATGACACAGTTCTTCCAGCTTGTGTTGGACAAGAAAGTTAGCTAATGCCTTTTCCCCCCAAAATTTGTCATAACCTATTTCAAACAAATGATTTAAGACTGAAAAAAAGCAAATCTTATAGAGGGGACAGTTGTAAACCATGAGCAACCCAGTGCATTTCTGGTTCAGTAACGACAGCACCAGAGGGCATCAGTAAATCAGCTGGTGGATTGGTGTAGAAAAAGAGAGCACAGAGTTTGTGAGTGATTATTTCAGACTGTTTCTGTTGCACTTTTGCTAGATTTGCTTTCATTTCTCCAGAAGAGACCTTGTGAATACAACAGAGTTATGATGATGTCATTTGTGACGTCCTGCAATAAATTTCTAACAGACCCTGGCAAGTCTGGTTCTTGTCCACCATAAAACACAATGCAAAAATAGACCCACTATACAACATTGGCCTATCACAGCTGTCTTACAGTACTGGCTGTTTTAACTTCGGGTCACAATCTATTGATTAGTGTTTTTGAAAAACTGAGGTGGATGTGCAGCAAAAGTAAGATATAGATTTTGGAAGGTGATCTTCAAATCAGACTGAACAATAAAACACACAGCAAACTGAACAGGATCCCAAAACACCTGTAAATATTGGGTAATGTGCCAATGAAGTCAGCCTGCAACAATGCATCACAAGAAGACCAACGCATACATCATCACTCTCAACTGATGCCAGGAAGGTTGTGTTGAGAAATGAGGATCATTGAAGGCTATGAAAAACAATTATCAGGCAGGTTTTTGGGCACAGTATTAATGGAAGTGGCAATAAAACACCATTACTGTCATAATAATGATTTACACACCACAAATATTCGGCATGCAATTTGTACTCGATATAAATGACTTAAAATATAATCAGTATGAGCATACAAAGCCTATACATTAGCTCATATTAAACATAGTTCAACATGATGTAAAGCATTTAAATGTACATATAACAGGTTCATTTACCTTTAACCTCAAATTATTTCTGTCTACATTATTGTATCTTATTAAGCACATTTCAAATGAGTTAAATTAAAACATTAGACATGACCACAGGAACTCGCCATTAACAGCAACAATGTTTCTTGTTGATCTGATCTCTATATGAACACTGACAGAGAAAAAACAGCAAGGTTAAAAGTGAAAAACTGACATTTTAAAGCAGGCTTGCAAATTTTCTATTACTTGAAAGGTGCAAAACATTTAGGGGTCTGTGCAGTCATAAAGGGTGAATAATAAAGCATTGAAGCAAAATGACTCCATCTGTAATTGTAGAACACCAAATGAGTTTCATGACCCTGGTGCTGCTGAAAATCTATTGAACTTCCACTGTGTAATCGCAAACCAACAGGATAATCAATGAGAAAGTGTTTTGTGTGAAAAAAATAATGGGAATGGTAATGTAGCTCTCTGTATGACCATAAGGAATACCACAGCTTTATGCAATATAAAATCCATATATTAGCTACAGTATTGTATCTGGTACCTCAGTTAAATCACAAAAGTTACTATGGTTTACAGAAACCAGGACAACTGTAATATTACTACAGTATT